GCCTATACTTCCTGCCTAGCCACTGGCCAATCAGTGTTTTATTTATTGACCAATCAGAGTAAATTGACATACAGACCATCCCACAGCAAAGGACACTGGGATCAAGCTTTCCATGTAGGAACTCTGGCCATGGGGAGGGAAATGAGGACATTTCCCTCTTGGGTACAGTGGAGTAAACAGGTTATTAGGAAGTATGTTCCCCATAAAGCAGCACATCCATGTGTCCCTCCTTCCATGTGGCAAAGCTACCCAGAATCCATCCTTTGCTAGCATCTTAGAAGCATTCGAGAGCAGCCGGTACCGTCTGCCCTGTGGCCCTTGATGCTCCCTGTGGGCTCCTGGTGTTGACAGTGGGTCTGCAGGAAGAAGGCTCCCTGTGGGCTCCTGGTGTTGACAGTGGGTCTGCAGGAAGAAGGCTGCAGGTGTGTCTGGAATTCGAATGAACATGAACACCACCACAGATGATGCACCACCACGTTCCTGTTGATTAGCCTTATGTCCGAAGGAAACCTTGTTATTTGTTACTGTCTATAAAAAAAATTAGACAATGACAACTTATCATTTAAAAAGTCTTCCAGAGCAATAGAGTCTTTATTGGCACATTCCTATTGGATATTGTTTAAATTCCTAGTAAAGCAAAAGAATTTACTGGGAAATGCTTTTTTTCAATCTGACTTTAGGCCTGTATGTTTATTTCTTTTATATTTGTTTCTCAAACAAGATGATTTTCAGCTGGGTGGTAGTGGCACACGCCTTTAATCCCAGCACTCAGGAGGCAGAGCCAGGGAGATCTCTGTGAGTTTGAGGCCAGCCTGGTCTACAGAGCGAGATCCAGGAGAGGCACGAAAACTACAGAGACACCCTGTCTCAAAAAACCAAAAAAAGATGGTTTTCCTGTTTATTTCTTATAGTTTGACAAAAAAGCTGCACCAGTTTCTTAATCCAACAACATAAAACCCATCTTCTGTTCTGTAACCAGCCGAGGTAACCCTTCCCTGTGGTCTGCTGAGTTTGCCTTTAGGTGACTGACTGTAGGCGTCTCGCTCCCTGGTCTCTCCCACACAGACAGACGCTAACTGCTTCTCTTCCTGATACCCTACCCCACCCCATCTTCAGCCAGGGCTCTGAAATTTAGTGTGGGGAAGAATGTGAATTCTTTGTTCTGCTCAGGTGAGAGGAGCCGGGGAGTGGGTGACTGGACAGTTAAGTGAGGGTAACCAGCTGAGAGTCGTAACCTGGGAGCTGCCCGCCCTTCCTGGAAAGCCCCGAGGTCTCAGAAGCCACTGCTTAGTCGGCTCCATCTTTGTTTGTACAGGTGGGAAATCCCTGGCTGTGCTTTCTCACATCTCTGCTCTCTTCCTAGGGCAGGATAGCATGTGCTAATGTCCTCAGTGACCTCTATGCAATGGGCGTCACCGAGTGTGACAATATGCTGATGCTCCTTGGAGTCAGTAATAAAATGACTGACAGGGTAAGTCAGATGTTCACTCACTGGGATTTGGGTTGACTTCATTTTATGTTTACAGACATGGTCTCAAGTACGCAGCCCTCCACTTAGGGGCATTTATCTGTACATTAAAATTAGCGTACCTAGTCTCTTTCCCACCACCTCCTCCTTTCCTCTCTTGACAGAAAGCTGAACGTTTTTTTGTGGAGGGGGGACTTGGTAAAGCTTGGCTATACCACTCGAACCTTAGTACAGGCCTGTGAGTCAGGCCTTGCCTCGCTGGCTCAGAACTGGGACCACGTCCACAGTAGGCAGTCTCTGCGGGCCACGGCTCCACGCTTTCACATGCTCATGTTTCTCTGTTACCGCCCAGTAGCTTGTTCTTTGAAGCAGGCATGGATTCCTGTTTAGGTTATCTTTACTTATTTTTGTTTTATGTGCATGAGTATTTGCCAGTGTGTATGTAAGTACACCATGTGTGTGTCTGGAACTGGACTTAGATAGTTGTGAGCTGCCATATGGGTGCTAGGAACCAAGAGAAGCCATGCTCGTAACCATTATTTAGGTTATTTTTGACAAGATGTGTTTTTATTTCCATATCTTCCCCCACCCCCCAACCCCCGAAATCAGTTTGTCATGATTTACTGATAACCCAGTTTTCTGTGGTCTCTCTTTTTTTTAACCTAGCAGTGTGCTTTGACCAGTAGTAGTTAGTGGTCTCAGCAAGGACTTTGCTGAGGATGTTACTTCACAGCTTTTAGCAGGTCCTCCCATTCCTTGTTAAACATAAGTCTCTTTGAAAGCAGGGCTGTGGATATGTAGTTAGCTTGTCTGGTGTTCTTCAGGACCAGCAGAGAGCTGACTTCTAATAGTCATCAGCCTCTGGGCCAGGCCTGTGGGCAAATGGCATTATACTCCCTCCTCTTACCTGGGCTTCGTTCACTTTGTAGCCCATACACCTTCCAGCATTTGATAACATGCTTATAGCTTAAGCATCCCCTGCTTTATTGTACCCTACCCTGTCCGTCAGCTTTTGGTTCTCTGAAGGGTTTTTATCTTCTTATAACTACAAATGCAGAACCATCCTCTCTGGGTTTTGAACAGAATTGCATGACTTTTCATCTGTGTCCTTTTAACTCTAGGAAAGGGATAAAGTGATACCGCTAATTATACAGGGTTTTAAAGATGCGGCAGAAGAAGCGGGAACCTCCGTAACAGGGGGCCAAACAGTGTTAAACCCCTGGATTGTTCTAGGAGGAGTCGCCACAACTGTCTGCCAGCCCAATGAATTTATCATGTAAGTTGGCTTTTGTTTCATGTGTCGGAACCTATTTTTCTCTCATTCTCTCTAAAAATAAGGTGTATTAATTAAGGTACCATTCACTTGCTGTACAATCACCCATTTCAGGTGTGCAGTTGAGTGGTTTTTGGCCTATCCGGGGTATAGAATCACCAGGGTCCCTTACGACACTTTCATCACCCTGAGCAGAAACGCTCCCACTCAGTTATCACTTGCTGGTCCTTCATACACATCTTGGTTGGTGTCTCGCTTAGTATATTAACATGGAGTATTTTTATATTCATAAATTTTGTAGCATATATCTGAACTTTGATCCTATTTCTGAGTAACTTTAGACCTTGTAAATTTCACTTAACAAAAATATATACCACATTATTCAGCATTTTATCTATTTTTTGCCTTAGCTTTTTGAGACAAGGTGTCATTCTGTATCTCCTACTGATCTCAAACTCATGATCCTCCTGCCTCAGCCTCCTCAGTACAGGAATTGCAGGTAAGCGAGGCCTTGACAGCTTTTCTGATTTTGTTTTCTTGTACTTGGGATTGAATACAGCTGCTTGTGTCTGTTACCACGTGCTCCACCGCTGAGCTCGCCCTCCATGTCAGCATTTCCAGTGTACAGTTCATTGGTTTTCTAAGTACAGGCTTGAGCAGTCGTCAGCCTCTCCAGTAGCCAGAATGTTTGCATCCATGCAGCAAGCCTGTCTGCATGCAGACATTTCCAGTTTCCTCCTCTCCGAATGCTTTGGAGACCAGAAAGCTTCTTTTTGTCTTTAAAGATCTGCCTGTTCTGAGCACTTTATATAAATGGAACCATTCTATGTAGGACATTTTTATTGTTTTTTGTTTGGTCGGTTGGTTGTGTGGTTGGTTGGTTTTTCCAGACAGGGTTTCTCCGTGTAGCCTTGGCCGGCCTGGAACTTACTCTGTAGACCAGGCTGGCCTTGAACTCAACAGAGATCCACCTGCCTCTGCCTCCCAAGTACTGGGATTAAAGGCGTGTGCCACCACTGCCCAGCTTTTGTTTTGTTTTTTTTGAGACATTTCTCTGTGTAGCTCTGGTTGTCCTGAAACTCACTCTGTAGACCAGGCTGGCCTTGAACTCACAGAGATCCGCCTGCCTCTGCCTCCCAAGTGCTGGGATTAAAGGTGTGTATTACCACCACTCTACTCCATAGTGCTTTTTATGGCCTAGTAAGCTTTTGTTTGTATGTACCACAATTCTGCTCACTGGTTGGTGGAATTTTGAGTTGTTTTCTCCTATTACTATGAATGTTCTACAGATTCAGTTTTGTTTTGTTACTTTGTGCATGCACAGACACAAGTTCTCCACATCCCTTCTAGAAGTTGTTCTATGATGTCATTCTGCTCATAGCCAGGCCAGCATAGTGTAGGTGGCATCCCACTGTGGTTTTGATTTGTGTTTCCTTGATGACTGATAATGTCGGGCATCTTGTCTTGTAGCTTTCTTTGGGGTGGGAGAGCATTTCTCTGCATTCTTTGGAGATCTCAACACAGATTTTCACTTCCCATGTTTGATGTTAAGAAAAGGGACCCTCAGGCTGGAGAGGTGGCTCAGCTGTTAAAGGCTAGGCTCACAACCAAAAAATACAAGAAGAGGCACCCTGTCCTATTTTTTTGAAGTTAGTAGAAATTCCACTTACCTGTTTTACTATGTGTTTTATCTATGGGGGGCGGGGGACAACTTGCAGGAGTTGATTCCCTGCTATCACATGAGTCCTATGAATTGAACTCAGGCCCTGAGAGTTGGTAGCAAGTATCCACTGAGCCATCTCACTGGCCCTTACTTCAGTTTTTGATGAGTCATTGGTAGCTATATGTTAATCTGGGTCAGAATTTAAAAGATGTAAAAGAATCTACAGTAGAGTGGCCCTTATCTGTGCTGAGGCCCCAAGTTTCCCATCCTAGGCACCCTCTTACTAGTTTGGTGTATTTGCTATTGACATTTTAGTTATGTTTGGTTATTTTGATACCATAACTAACACTCCAAGAGTAATCTTAGAGCAGGTCGTTAGGACAGGTTCTAGGAATCCCTAGGTCAGGGGTGTACCAGTAATGCTGAGAGCCTGCCCTTCATAAAGGCTCTCCCAGGAGCCGCTCCCAGCAGTGAACAGATCAGCCAGATTCTCCATATCCTGACTGACAGTGGATTAACAGATTTAATCTTTGCTGTTCTGCTTGGTGGTTTTTGTCGGTTTGTTTTTCTAGTACTGGGGGTTTGAACCCCAGGCCTTGTGTAGGGAAGGAAATGATTCTGCTCTTGCGCTATCCTCTTGCTGTTGAGCGATCCTCGCTTACTCTTGCTGTTGAGCTATCCTTGCTTACTTACTCTTGCTGTTGAGCTATCCTTGCTCACTCTGGCGTGCTCTCTTTCTCTCTCAATTGTTATTTTGGCTGTTGTGTAAAGCAGGGTTTGATCTTCCTGCCATTGTCTTCCAAGTACCGCAGATGACGAGTGGAGAGCAGTGTGCCCAGCTTCCGCTTGGTGGTTTGAATCTTACTCATAAGAGTGAAGTTGAACACCTTATTCACTTTCCCCAAGCTCTTTTTACTCCAGTAGCTGAAGACATTCCCATTAAGCTTCCTGTGTCTTACTAGGAGGTTTCCTTCTCCTGACAGACGGCATATGTGGGGCAAGCATGAAGACCTGAGTTGTGTCTCCAGCAGCAACATAAAAGCTGGGTGTTGGGGCTGGGCGGTGGTGGCGCACGCCTTTAATCCCAGCACATGAGAGGCAGAGCCAGGTGGATCTCTGTGAGTTCGAGGCCAGCCTGGGCTACAGAGTGAGTTCCAGGAAAGGCACCAAAGCTACACCGAGAAACCCTGTCTCGGGGAAAAAACAAAAAACAAGAAAAAAAGTTGGGTGTTGGCAGTGTTCACTGTAACCCCAGCACTGGGAGACAAAAAAGGCAAGCCCCTGGGGCTCACTAGCCAGCCAGTGTAGCCAAAATGGTGAGAGACCTTATTTCAAAAAAATAAGATGGTAAAAGTGACGGCAGCACTCAATATTGACTTCTGGCTTCTGCCCCGCTCACACACATGTGCATTCATACACACACA